GCTTATCACAGAGACCTCCAAAACTAAGAATCCAGCTGAGGAATTCAAAATACAGCTTGAGCACAATGCTGCACAGAGCCAATCTGCCAAATTGAATAAACTATCTAACCCTCTCTCGACTGTCCAGTGATATACTGTACTGACAAACCACATGTTGAACAAAAAGAAAAATATGAAGTGAAAATTATGTTTATTAAACCAACAGTTTTGTCTGCTTCTATTCTATTACTTGCTGTTTTCTGGGATACAGAACATACAGTTGACGTTGTACAGGACTGTTGCAATTACGTGAATATAATGTATGTAACACACAGGAAATCGTGTTTTATTTCAATAGCTCAGTCACAGTCCAGGTGATGCTGTAGTGTAACAGAACTTCATTCCAACTTGTCATCCTCTTGACTATGTGATTTGTTATCATATACCTGTTTCACATGAATACCTGTGGATTTATCCCCAAATCAATCCCCCATAATCCTCTATTATTAACCAATGACTTTAAATTTTCGACAAGATGCACGACAGCTTCTGAATAGTAATAAAGAGTCTCTTCAGGCAGAGTTTTTAAAGAAACTTTTTTTGTCTTGAAATTTGCTGTCTTTTCAACATTTCTCTGGAATTGTGTGCTATATGAAATTGAGCACTATCCCTTCAATTTTATTTAAAGTTTTGTATTTGTTAGTTATACACAATAATTTGTTTCTTATACTCCTGGTATTAAGGTATCGGCTCCCAGCTACCCGATTGTCTGTTTTTTTCCCCTTTAGTTCTTCCTCGGTTTGTGTTCCCCATGTAAATACTTTTCAGTTTTCTTTGGTTTATATGTTTGTAATCCATCACGTCTGTGCAGATGTCTTTTGTCTTTTGACTACGAATCAATATCTATGTCTATATAATACTCTCATTTTCCGTTCAACCATTGTACCATGTAAATCAGTTAAAGGTTCTAAGTTTGCAAATTTTAATATATGAGCAGCTCTGTGAAAAGAAAAGAAACGGATGTGTCAGCAAAAGAGAAGAGTAAGATTCCTCAGGCTCTCATTTACACGTACAACACGAAAGTTGAGTGCAACTAGAGAAAAGACTGCAATACCTGAGGCAGAAGTGCAAGCGATAAGGGAGATGCACTCATATGCGAGTGCCAGTGCTGCAGGTTCAACTCCGTTACCAGAGGAAGAACTGGAGTCTCTGCTCCTCGTCACACCTGAGAGGACCTGACGCTGGAAGACGTGCAGGTAGACGTTCTTGGCACGATAACAAAGGTTGCGGAGGAATTGAAAGAAATGATAAGGGGCAATGCTCTGAGAATTGAGACTTTAAAGAAATCTGTGGATTTTTTTGTTTAAAGAGGCCAGTGACTAGGGAGATGGAGCAGTAGCACTGTGGCTAAGGATCTGTGCCTGTGGCTGGAAGGTTGCTGGCTCAAATCCCATGGCCGGCAGAGAAATCCTACTACATTGGGCCCCTGAGCAAGGCCCTTAACCCTGGCTGCTCCAGTGTACAATGGCTGATCCTGTGCTCTGACCCCAAGCTTCTCTGCCTGTCTGTGTGTCTCATGGAGAGCAAGCTGGGGTATGTGAAAAGACTAAATCCTAATGCAAGAAATTGTATATGGCTAACAAAGTGATCTTATCTTATCTTATTGAATAATGATGCCAAATTATTAGCATTGATATTTCCAAATAGATTGAAAAAAGGTTTAGATCAGATTATTGATTAGACACAATCTGAGTTTATGAAAGGTAGACATTTATGCAATAATATTAATCTAATCTTGGATTTGATAGACTATAGTGATCTTATAGAAGATGACAGTTATATACTTTTTCTTGATTTTTATAAGGCTTTTGATACAGTAGAACATAATTTTTTTAAAAAAATGTCTGGAATTTTTTGGTTTTGGTCAGTATTTTCAGAATGTTATTAAAACTATTTATAATGGTTGTAATAGTTCAGTTAAGTTACATCACGGGACGTCTCCGAGATTTGATATTGGTAAAGGTATTGGAGAAGGATGCCCTATTTCTCCTTTTTCATTTGTATTAGTAACTCAAACTATATTAATAATCGTGTTATGAAAGGTATTAATATCTTAGGTAGAGAAATTAAAATTTGTCATCTTGCAGATGATACTACTATACTTCTTAAAGATGGTAGAGAGTTGGCTAAGACAAGTGTGTGGGGAGCGTTCTGGCGCACTATGGCTGCCGTCACATCATCCAGGTTGGGCTGCACATTGGTGGTGGTGGAGGGGAGTCCCCATTACCTGTAAAGCGCTTTGAGTGGAGTGTCCAGAAAAGCGCTATATAAGTGTAAGCAAATTATATTATTATTATTAAGATATAGGTACATTTTCTTTGGTGTCAGGATCTAGATATTAATAAATGTGAATTATTTTCTCTTAAGGACTCGGGGTTAAATGTTGTTGACAATATAGCTATAAAAAAGGTGGTGACGTACCACCAGATCAGTAAGATGAAGATTAAATTTTGAGCCTATTTTAGACAAAACAAAGAAGAGATTTCAGTCTTGGTTAATGAGAGATTTGTCTCTGACAGGTCGGGTTTTATTATCAAAAGCAGGGGGCTTTTCTCTGTGTATGCTTCTCTTTCATTGCATGTCTCTAAGGATATTATGAATTATTTTGATAAAGTACTTCATAACATAATTTGGAAAAACAAACCTCATCATATAAGAAAGTCTCTTCTAACTCAACCTAGGAATCATGGTGGATTGCTTGTCTTAGATTTTTATACTGCTAATATTATATTTAAAAGAAATTGGATTAGAAATTATACTGTGAACAAAAATAGTATATTAAAATTGGATTCCCAAGTTGATTTTTCAATATATAGGTGATCTCGAATTTATGTTAAAATGTAATTTTGATATTAACAGAATTCCTCTTAAATATCTAACTTTCATAAACAAGTTTTATTATGTTGGAATGTAATACATAAGCATAACTTTAACCACATACAAATAATATTTGGAATAATAAAGATGTAAAAATAAAAATTATAAAAATAAATGCATATTTTTTTATGACTTAGTATGATAAAATCTGGCTAGTGGCCCAATTGTTAAATGAAGAGGGCAGATTGTTCACATATACAAAATTTTGGGAAAGATTCCTATCACTCCCCGTGAATATGCTATAGTCTTTGATGCTATTCCTGAGAAAATGGTGAGGCTGTTTAGAGGTAGTTTTGGCCTTGCTGGTAGAGTTTCTTCTGATTTCTCTGTTAATTTAGTTAATTTATTTTTGGATGAAGTAGATATAAAAGATAGAAAATGCAATAATAATTATATTAGGAACTTGTGCAATTCATATTTTACACCTTCTTGTATCTCCTTTTGGAATACTATGTTTAGGAATATAAATTGGAAATAAGTTTGGGCTATTGCTGATAGATACTGTCTTACAAATAAAGTTAAATAAATTTCATTTAAGATCTTTCATAGATTTTATCCTGTTAAATCGACACTTTCTAGATTTAAACATGAACAAGATGACTTATATGTATTTTGTAATAATGAGAAGGAATCTTTTGTTACATTTGTTTGTTAACTGCATATATACAAAACTGTTTTGGATAGATTTGCAAAATGTTAAATTGAAAGATTTTTTATATTTTGTTAGATCTGATGTGGATAAAAGGATATGTTTTGATTATTAATCTGTTAATTATTTAGGCTAAATACTTCATCCACAAAAGTAAATGGTCTAACACTGCTCCCTCTATTCATGCTTTTAAAGTTGAATTCCTTTTTTATTTAAATTCTATTAGACATTTAAAGAATCAAAAGGCAAGACATACAATGGAAATTTGTAAAAAGTACAATTGTTAGTTTTTACAATTGTGAATTCCTCTGGCTGTGAAGTGTCTATTTCTGTATCTATTTTAATATTCCGTCTCCTGTTTTGTATTTCTGGTGTTTAAGTAAAAAAAAAATATTTTTAAAAAGTTGAAATATATATAGTAGCGGCCTCGCCCGGCGTTGCGGCAGAAGAGAGCCGGCTGCGGTGCAGGACGGGAGTCGTGGTGGCCAGTGCGGCTGACCAATGGCGGAACCGGGGCACACGGTCGCGAAATCGCCCGGACACATGTAAATAGTTTCCCTGGTTTAGCAACCCTTTGATGCATGTACCCAAATGACCACCCTACAGCTGTGTAACTGTACCCTAATTGACCGCAGTGTGTTGTAGCCTGTTGTCTTTTTTTCTCTCTCTCTCTGTTGTGGTTTCTGTGCCGGTTAAGTCCGGTTAATAAAGATCGCCGTGTTCCCAGTCGACAAGAGCCCGAGGTCCCTGGTCTCTGTCCTCGCCTAACCCACAATATCATACTTATCTGTGAGCAGTACATAGACTAACTGAAACTGTTTACAAATGTCTCAATCACATGCCGACTTGTGTGAGTAAAACCGTGCTGTATAGCCAAAATTCACCTTTGGGTGTTCATGAACGTATATCACTGACTCTCCCTTTTGTGCCTTGAAACCATGCCCATTCTAATGATGCAACCGGTCATGTGCTATTTACTCCGTGTGCCCCGCTGCTGTGCAATGACTTGCTGTTTTTCCAGGTTTCATGCTGATATTTCCGGTAACAGGGCTTCGTATTCTCAGATATTGACTCTGATTATATTCAGCATTCGAGGAGCATTGCCTGTTATTACATTTTACATTGGCGGCTCTTTACATGCTACAAACCTGCGTCATAAAACGGTACCTTAGCACGTCAAAAAATGCAGGATGCTCAGGGGTGATGTCATGTTTTACTAGCCGAAACCCCAGAAGTGGGCTCTGTATTTTCCCCCTTTTCCGGAGTCTCCTTTTGGGTTTATTAACCGGCCCACTGCAATAAAAACACCTTCCGGTGCTGAAAGCTTTGCCCGGTTCATTTCTAACTGCGTGTGCTGTGTGTGGGCGTGTCGGGGACCAGCCCAGGGCTTTGACAGGGGCTCCTCCTCCGATAACTACCCGGGATATATAACCCAACAGCCGGCTAAGCTGCACTAGTCACTCACGGAGACCACTTTGAAGGTTTGCAGTGAGGAAGCGAAGTACCGCAGGATTTCGTCTTGACCTACGCATTTGTATTTATTATATTTTCAAAAAAAAAAAAGACTCGGAACAATACAGCAGCAAGATGGTGAGTTTTAACATTTAAAGTTACCCGAAGCATTTTTTGTTCATTTGAGTAAAAGATGAAACATTGAATATAGAGTTTTTATGTTAAGAGCTAAGCGTAATTCCAAAACATTTTTTTTCCCCCCTCAGATGAGCTGAACAGTTTGACCTGCTATTACTTGACACGTTTACAGTTTCATCCATAAATGTGATAATGTTGCTGTATTTGATTGTGTGTAGACGGCACAACTGTAATGTCGTGTACTGTCGTCTCACTGTAATGTTAAAAGCTAAAGCTTTTGGGGGGGAAAATCGGCGTCTGAAATGCAGGTCAGGTGAAACTCAGGATTGAATCCGTTTAGCAGCACTGCTTCAGAGACCCCCAAATTTGTTTGATTGCAAATGTATATTGAACCGAGTCTTTTTAACTCTTGAATTTTGATGAAATAACGCAATATTTAAGAATGAATAAATTAAGTACCTAAAACGCCACGTGTATTAAAATTCGGTATCTGTAATTCGCATAACGTTTTAAAATATAAATTAATATCCTTATACAGTAAAATATAGAACCGGATTGCATGTTTAAAATACTGAAAAAACCCGTAATACGTTCGATGTAGGACTGGTAAATCTAACAATGAGACTTTGGTGGGGGGAAGGCTGGCAAGATATTTTCTCAGATGTGTGTGTGTATATATAACGAAGACATTTTATAATGGCAGCAAACGTGCATCTCTGTTCTTACGATTAAAGATGCACAGCAGTGGTATCGGCTTCCTGATCGTCCATGGAAATGTTTCCTATATTTGAAAGGCAGGCCTGTGAAATAATAAGAATTATTTCTGGGTGGGCCTGTTCCGCGCTCAGGGACACGCCTGTCTTGTCATTACGCCGAGCGCTGCAGGGTTGGCGTCTCACCACCGATGTGGAGCGAAAGCTGGCGTCTCTAGTGGAGAAACCTCAATCGTCATTTCGCTTTTCTGGATCATTATTTGGTCTCTCTTTTTTTTTTTTTCCTTCTTCGTGTGATTAAATGTATGTAACGCCCGTGACGCCAGTCCTGGGCCAACGTATCTGTGAAATATGAGGGACTTCGAGAGTGCGTATGCTGCGGCTAGACACAATAGCAGCGCCTCATTCTTAACAGGCTTGTCTCAATTCCCAGGCTTGTGCCAAAAAGGTGTTGTTACCACTAGTTAAAGCCGAATGGAGGCTAGATGGACAGTTCCAGGCTTTTAAAAGGGGGCACCACTTGAAATTGGAAGCATTCGCATACCTTGCAGTGTGTAACGAATTGCGGATGTTGCGAAGATTGTTGCGGGGAAAATGTGTAACATCGAATCTAAAAAGCAGGTGTTGTCCACGATCTTGCTCATTGGAAAAGGCATTTATCTCCCAGTCAAAATGGTGACGTGCATGTGGAGCGTGTGCGAGTATAAAGGTCCACACACATGAGCATGAGGAGGCTGCTATCAGTCACAAAGGGAAGGTAAGAGATTAGAGGGTTATGGATCGGAGGATCAAAGCTATTTTTTTTTTCTGCGATGAGGTTTCTAGAGCCGAGGGGCTGGTCGGATTCCGCAACTGTTGGAACAAAATTGACCAGATAATAAATGTTGATCAGACTGATTCCCAGTGACCTGGACATTCACAGCACGTAATTTCATTTTTTTTTTTTTAAATGAACAATCGCAGGTTTCGCGGGAAGCTACACCGCATGGTGTGCGCCAGCAATGCTATCCGGTCACACACACACGATAGATTTTAACATCTGTAAATTGGTGCAGTGTTAGTGCTTTGGGCGCAATCCACCAGCTCTCATGCGGACTCTGTTTCCTGAGCTTTGTGTGTTAACCCAGTCCGTCGGTTTTCATTTACGGCTTTTATAGTGACCGCTGTGCACATTCACCCGCATGCTCCAGCCGAACCGGCGCGCCATACAGCGTCATCAGGAAATACGAAAACGCGCATCCGGAAGCTGTTTCTATCGTGGCGGGGGGTGGTGGGCTTCAACCGCTGTAGCTTTTTAAAAAAAGTACTACCGAAGTACTTTCAAAACCTCTCTGTTCCCACTAGAGGCAATAACACACGGGATCACTGTTATACCACCATTAAAGGAGCGCACCGCGTCTGACCACGCCTCTGTGCGCCTTCTGGCTGTGTGGAAGCAGAAGCTAAAGAGCGCCACCTGCAGTAAAGACCGTGCAGCGCTGGTCAGACGCTGCTGAGCAAGAACCCGCAGGCAGTTTTGAAATGACTATATTTTTTAAAAAAAATCTCGTCCACTGATCTAAATGCGCATGCAGAGGTGGTCCCATCCTGCGTCGACTACTGTGTGGACAGATGTGTTCCTACCAAGAAGATCCAGATATATCCCCATCAGAAGCCCTGGATGAACAAAGACATTCGCTCCAAACTTAGTCTGCTGCCTTCCAATCAGGTGACCGAGAACTGTATTAGAAAAAAAAATCAAGATACGACCTGGAGAAAGCTATTGAACTGGCAAAGCAGGAATAAAGGGATAAATCGGAAAAACAGCATCTCTGCCAGATGAGATGGAACACCTTTTAAGCCTGTTTTTAGGCTCAGAACACTGAGCCCGCTATCAAGACTTCCTGTGAAACAGGGGACTTTGTGTTCCAGCTCTCTAAACACGAGATGCGTAGAGCCCTTAAGAGTGAAAACCCGCAAAGCAGCCGGCCCAGATGGTGTCTCCCCTTGTGTCCTTAAAACCTGTGCAGACCAGCTATCTCCTGTGTATACAGACACTTGTAACTTCTCTCTGTCCCCGTGAGTTTTACCAGAGTGCTTTTAGAAAACCCAAATGGTGCCACTGCCCAAGCTAACCTGTGTGAACGGTTCCTGTCCAGTAGCACTCGCTTCAGTGGTCATGAAGTGGCTGGAAAGACTAATATTGTTCCATCTCAGACTTCCTTGACTGACTTCAGTTTGCTTCCTGCCTGAATAGGTCAGTTGATGATGCTGTATCTCTACTGCCTTATTGATTACAGCTTGGCCAGCACAATTGGTCCCGAAACGCAGGAATCTGGACTTGTGCAACTCCAGCTGCAACTGGATACTGGATTTCCTGACGGGAAGACCTAAGGTGGTGGGGAAAATTGGCAACAATATCTCCTCTACAGCGATCCTAAACGCTGGAACCCCACAAGGCTGCTGTCTCAGTCCTAGGCTATACTTGTTCACCTATGATTGTACAGCCACTTACAGCAGCAAACGCATTAAGTTTTCAGGTGACACCGCTATTATTGGGGCTGATCAACGACAACAACAATGATGAGTGCGCATACAGGAGTGAGGTGGAGCATCTTACAAGATGGTGCCTAGACAACAATCTGGCCCTGACTGTCAACAAGACAAAAGAACTCATTGTGGACTTCAGGAGACCCAGAGGGAGTCGTGCCCCAGTTGGCATCAATGGCTCACCAGTGGAAACTGTCAACTGCTTCAGGTTCCTCGGCCTGCAGATCTTCACCGACTTGGCTTGGTCTCGCAACACTGTAGCCAGTCTGGAAAAGGCACAACGGCGCCTGCACTTTCTGCAGTGCTTAAAGAAATGCCGTATGGGGAAGCAGTTAATTGCCGGAGTTGGGAGCCTCTGTGACATTCTACAAGGGAACAGCCAGCAGGAACTCAACATTGACCACTTCTGGCCTTTGGCTTGTTTCTGGGTTTGTTGCCTATTAACAGCATCAAAAAATGGTACAGCAACGTACACAATAAGCAACCATTCATGTCCTGGTTTCTGCTAAGAAAGAAAAAACTACCATGACCTTCATGTCTTCATTTTATCAAGACTTGTTTAGAAATAATTGTGGAGCTCCTGATTTGTATTAGTCGGACACAAATGGTTTTAGATGTTCCTATAGTAATCAGTTTGAGCTGGAATGCTTGTGTGGTTATGGAACCTTGAACAGTGAGTTTAAACTACTTCATTATATTTGCACTTTATCAATTTATCCGTGATCGTTGTTAATATTCAAATTGCGAAGAGATTTCTTAAAATTAAGTGTGGTTGACGCTAAAGGGAATTTGGTAGCCGATCTTGAATGCAAGTTCAGGCACCCAGGATTACAGTGAAATGGTTTAATTATTGCCAGTTTCTTTCTCTCTCTCTTGTATGATTGCTGGTTTACCACTAACTGAATTTAAACAATAAAACCTTTGCTGGTCTCTGTACTTCTCCTGCACTGTTCGTTTCATACGAAGGTCAAAAAATGTTTGTTGAGCAGTAGTCTTGCATTTAACGGACTTGATCTTTGTGTTAATAGTCACTTAAAAACAACCCAACCGCCAGGTTCCCAGCTAGCCATTATACATTTAGAACAAATTTTCTTTTCAGGACTATGTAGTTTTAAACTGCAAATTGTCACATAAAGGGTTTTCAGATCATTAGTCTTATTAGACTGAAACGGAAACATCTTTGAAGCCTGGTAACTGCCGCACATAAACCTCGCTGTCAAATAAGCAGAGCAGATGTTAAAATGCCAAATATGAGCTGGGGAGGAAATGGGTCTTTTCTGCCACTACAGTAATACTGTGTAGTGTGTGTGATGTTTATTTTAGTCTAGGATGAGATATGTGGTGCCTTACATTATGACTTCAAAACCTCATCCATTTATCTGCTGTTGATGACCAATGTTTTCCTCCATTTCTCAATTGAATAAATGGTGGTAGATCAAAGATTCAGTAATGAAATTCGGCTGTTTTGTGTTCGTGGAACTATTCCACATATGCCACAATATTATTGAAACTGTAACTTTACTGCTGAGATTATATTGCAGTACTTTATTGGAAGAATGTGACAAGCTTGTCTAAAGCATTTACACCTTTTTAGCAATACCCTGTGTTTGAGCCATACTGTAATTCCTCAAGTAAAAATATAAATGAAGAGATTTATGATTGCACAAAAAATCCATTACGGCTATAAACTTGCATTTTTCTTAAGTTCTGCATTCAATTCTGAAAATATTAAAGCAGAGTAATATTCAGGTACTTCTGGATGAAGATTCTAAATTCTTTCGGCGTATTGAACATGAAATTCAGTGAGATTTTTCTATTCCTGAAGCAGTGAAATTATAGATTTACAATTCTAGTTTTGAAAGGAGTAACTAAACAAAAAAAAAAAACACACACTCCGAAAAGGCTTTAGAGAGTAAGATGAATTTAAAAGGTAGTGGAAACCAGGTTCTGAACTGATTTTGAGCAATAACTATTTGTTTTTCATATAAGGACAGAGAGGGTTGCCCGTGTACATCTCACCTTTTGTAATATAGCTGGTTAAACTTCATTTAATTCAAATGTTCAATGTGTACTTAATATATTCTAATTATACCACTAGTTGGTGCAGGCTGCAGACCTATTCCTTTCAGTCTGAATAATAATTGCTTACACTTATATAGCGCTTTTCTGGACAGTCCACTCAAAGCGCTTTACAGGTAATGGGG